TCAACGAGACCAAAATCCTCGTGGGTGATGCAAACCGCCTAAGGTGCTTCGGGCATGAAACTTCTGCCGCCAGTTCATCATCAAGCAAAACGATTACCCTCTATTTAATGTACAAACAGTTTGCGTAAGCAGTTATATGAATCACATGCAATAAAACAATATAGCTACTGACAGTAAAAATAAGGCCGAGCGATACTTGTTACTAACTACTGTGGAGAAATTACAATACCTAATGCCTCGAATGCGAGCAGCCCAGCAATGATCATATCGAGCAGGAACAATTGCGACGAACGTCGGGGCTGCTGGGTTAAAGCAGCATCTATTGAATATGGAACCTTCTTAGCGTCCACCATTTTCCTTTGTTTCTGCCTCGGCTGAAAACTAAATTCGAAATACAAGAGAGAATAATTTTTCTTTTTTAACACTCATGACCTTTCTGCCAAAACCATTTTAGATTTAATTTGTCATTAGTACGTGCACTGTAAACCAGTTATTTGATAATTCACATTCACATTCACGTAGTTCGCCATTTTGCATCGGTTGTTAACCAATAAATATACTCGGTAAGAGCTCATTAGAAGCAACGCCGTGGTTTGCTATTAAGAAACTAAATAAACTAAAACGAATAAAATTAGATAACAAACCAAAAACTAAACTAAACTAAATAATAAACTGCAACAAAATAAGTGGTTAGATATGTATAGTAAACTAGATGTTGATAATATCTTATAAAGTACCATTTTTATCAAAAAAAACAAAATAATCAATTTTTGGAGGTAAGAATACTTGCCAGCTTCTTTAAAATCGCTATACTACTATTGTTTTATTTCATGTAAGCTTTTGATTGCTTCGGTCTCCAGGTAGGACTGTGGTCCAGCAAAAGAGGAGAGCATCCGTTTTGCGGAGGAACCCTCATCAGCGCGAAGCTAGTACTCACATCAGCTCGCTGTCTTCGATCGCTTACTACGTGTGAAAATATGACCGCTGGAGAGACATTTAATTTTGCGAATCTCACCGGAGACAAGCTCATAGCTCATCTTGGCGATCACACATTCACCAAACCGGAAACAACCCTTCAGGCCATAGAAGTAGAATTGATTCAAGTACATCCGGACTTCAACGACAAGGATGAAGGCGCTAGCGTGGACGTGGCTCTGCTACAACTTTCTAAAGCCATTACGAAATGTAGGACAAATATATAAGTTTTGGATTTTTAGTTAAAAAGTCAATTATGCCGTTGATTTTCGGAAACATTACGTAATAAACGAACAAATATTATCAAAGCTTCAGAAACAAACGCTTACAGTGAATTAATGTAGATTATAGTGGTCTTCCACCTTAGGAGACTCGTTAGGTTATTACTACAAAGGATGCAGAGCTTTTGAAACCTGGAGCGGAATTTGTAACAATTTGTCTATAGTAATTTCTAAATGGCACCTTTATCATAACGACCAGAACATATCGCGTCAATACTAACTATTCTTACCGTTATTTTCTTATTTGTTCATTATTTATTAAATTGTGTTATTTGAAAAAGACATTGTTTGGAATCATTTGTTCTGGAGTAAATTTTTACGTATGGGAGAAAATAGTTCTTGTGCAGACGGGAGTCACAGTTGAGTTTGGAGTTCTGAATTCGGTCACACATTGTGGAATGCAGACAAATATTTGATTTTATATGGAATTAAATTAGAACGGTATCGCACGGTAATTTTGTATGCAAAGAGTCCTTTGTGGATTCTTCATTCATTATTTACGTCTGCTTCTCTGTCTCTCCTTTTAAAAGCCAAGGATGTGGACTACATTTGCGTTCCAAGTGCTGATCTGGGTTTGTCGTCTGAGAAGTCTTGCTACTATGCTGGATGGGGTGCAGTCCTGAGGCAGGGTACTGTGAAACAATGGAGAAATCCGAGACTGCTCAGAGAGGCTGAGGTTTCTGTTGCTTCCAATGAGGAGTGTTCAAAAGCAGGACTTTCAGTCACTGGAGGAAAAACGACATGCATTGAAGTCGAAGCTAGGGTAAGCCATACAACGTTTGTTAAAAAAGCAAGCTTTATCATAGAATCAAAGAACAAAACATGAACTAAATAAATATATGAATATATGACCAGCTGTGGTCTAAATTTTTGGACCTTTTACAGGACTGTGTTTCGTAAGTGGAAATTAAAAATTTTTCTCAAAGCAAATAATGCCTTATCATATTGGGGCTGTTCAGCACGGGGAAAAAATATCCGTTCCACGCTTGACTATTGTGCCTACTGTGATTTTGATATCTTTAGAGCGTGCGTCAAAAGATAGAAACCACATGTTAGAACTTTATATTACCTCTAAGCTCTGGGGAGATAGTATTGCCGCTAAAGACAAGGTAGACTGGAATGGAAATTTCTGGCTTATTAGCCAGTCATATCCAGTCTCAAGTGACGCACCACCCGAAGCTGGAACTCGCAAATTTTTGACCAGAGTATAACGCCATAACCACTGAGCTCATTGTCTTGCCGGTTTAAATCGGCAGATTTTGACACTCGTTTCGAATGTTCAACGATCGCTAACAGGATGCACTTGCCCCGATTCGCCTTTGCCTTGGGCCTCATTTCTCGGACCCCGACAGCAACTGTAGCAGCTGTGCCTACACTACTCGCTGCTACGGCTACTGTCAGTGCCCGAGAAATGAGGCAAAGGCGGAGGGGGACAAATGAGTTTCGTCAGCGGTCGTAAATTTTCATCAACGATTGTCATCTTTATATTACTTCGTTTGTACAGCAAAACTATAAATCTGATTCCGAGAGAATTGTCTTGCTAGAACAGCTAGTAACGATTAACCCATATATATTCCAGATTTCAAAGACAAGAGAATAGCACTTATCCGCACAATCGTTTAACAAGTCCGAATTTCTCAGTCAGTGGAGAGTTTCATGCAAATTTTGTGTTAATAGTTTATGTCTGTTGCGCATTTTGTGCCTATCTTACATGCAGGCGCACAATAATGAACTCTACATTTCAGAGCCCTTGCCATGGAGACGCAGGTGGAGGACTATATTGCCAGCCAGAGGGGGAAGGGCGTTGGTTCCTAAATGGAGTCTTAAGCAACGGTGACGACAAGTGCGTCGCAGAACACGCAATCACCACTGGCGTGACATCATTTACCGCCTGGCTTTTGGATAATACTGTCCTGAAAGTTAAAGAAAAGCCTACGGCGTAAGGAGCCACCTCGCAGGAGAGGAATCGCTCAATGTGTGTGTGTGATTATGGGCAAACTTCAACTTTAACTTCATCTCTTAGAATTTCACTACTGACAAGTTTCCATTTCCATTTCAATTGAAATGAAATTTTGAGTTTTTTTTCTCTCTCTCTTATTTGCTGGAGATCGCAACGACGTGCTCGATAGGAACATTTTTCGGGGTACATATCTTAAAAATCAAGTTTAAGTGTGCAAAAGGCTATGTGCAATCGATTACCACATTAAAACGTTAACAAGCATACATGATCCAAGAAAAAAGATTACATTTATCCTTTAAGGTAGAAGACCAATGCCCCAGTTACAGGTGCTTACTTTACGGAGAAGAAAGAAGTCTTATTGAATACCGGAAGGCTTTGGTTAGTTTAATGAGCTCCCCAGCCAGAGCTCACAAATAGGTAGTAAATTATTCTGCTGTCTGATCAGGCTCATTCATTCTTCCTCATAATTATCCCTTCTGTTAGTAGACTCGGAAGGCGATTTGTAAAATTTGCTTAAGGATATAAATAAGCAGTCGTGGTCGGAGGAGAATAATGATTTTCAGAAGCAGAAATTTAATACAGTGATAACTGTGAGAAATTTAGTGCAGTTTTTCAATTGTGTATTTTGCTGATGTAAAAAACGTTAAGGCGAAGATAATAAAGATAAAGAATAAAATAAGAAAATCGTGAAAGGAGGTGAGACAGGCACTAATTTTTCGTCGTTTTAAATAAAATTTAAACGAAAGGCAACAATAGTATTTCGAATTGACAGAACTAATCAGGTATAATCCAGAATTTATTGGATTCAGCAAATTTTTTCACTGTTCATCAGTTATAACATGTCGCTGCAGGAAATCAATAATAAATGAGGGAATAGAGCAACTTAAATTCATACACCATGATCATGGTAACTTTCATGTAGATTAATCAATGCAATAAGCACCTTAAAAAGCGCCATATACGACGCGTGAAAGCCTACTAAATAAAGCATTAGAGCATGTGGTTAACCTAAACTTACCCCGCTTAATTCAGCTCGTACACTTTCACATTCCTCTTCCCCCTTTTAACTTTAAAATATTCGCTTGGTTTTAAATTGGATAGGGTGTTTTAAGTTGCTAATTCGATCGATCAGTTTGGGCGGAAATCGCCCACGATCTTGCTATTTTTACGTTTTTTTTTTTCTGTGCGAATTCAAATTGGCCTATTGTCGTATTCTTTAGTGCTTTTATTGCAGCAACAGATTCCGGCTAATAATAAGTGACAAGTATTTGAATCAAATAAGTTCTGCATTCTTTGCCTCCTTTAACTTCGCACCGAGGACAAATGACTCAAATTTAGTTTGGTTCCCCGTTTTATCAACAGCTATAAGCATTGCAACTTACCAGCCGTTCTCCTCCTCTAGCATCTAAGCTTACACTCGTTATCTATGCAAGCTCACGCTAAAACCTTGTGAATCCTACTAAGATTCCAGCCTTCCTTGAGCACTCGAGGATTGAGCAGTCAGAAGATATCTCTTGAACAAGAAATACAGCCTCTACCGAAACGGTTTCGCAATGAATGTGCATACTTATATTTTACACCCTAAACTGACAATCCAGTCAGCATCACTGTACTCCATATGTAATTTCTAGGAAGAAAGCATAAGCGTACTGAGCTGAATAGCAGTTTCCTTGAGATCTTGCCAGTGACATTTAATTTTGATTCACCTTCAGGGCAAACCGGAGTTTATTCCAAAGACGACCATGACAACTCATTTGCAGTTCAATTGCAGTCAATTGCTTTATATACAAAAGCTGTCCAGTCTTCTAACTTTAAAAAGGACTGACTAATATTCTCCCGGTCGCCGGGAATTGGTGTAACCATCTCCTTCAAAAACAGTGTCCGCTATTCAAATTAAAATAAGTTGTAAATATAGTCCAAGAAAATCCCTGAAGTAAGATAATTTCTCGAAAAGCCTACACATTTCAGCTTAACTGTATCATACTTGTATCACCAGTGAAGTTTTCTGTGACTTTTACGTCAGAAGTTTGGCTATTTTACACTCCTGATATTTTTTTGGTTCGTAATCCAACACATAATTGTACATGGTATTAGCAGGTTTTTCAAATCTGTTCGATGTTTGTGTCGCACTGCATTCCTTAAACGTTGACAAGCATATAGCGTTGCGGCAGGTACCTCACGCAAACTGATAAAATAATTCGGACGCCTGCAAATGTCTGAAGCACCGCGATATCGCAAATGCGCTTTTTCATCTAGCCAAACCTTACCATGCCCCTATATTAGTTGGACTTTCTGATACACTGTGACCCGCCCTAATCGAACTGATCAGTTTTCTGCATTACACAATACTGTAGAAAAGAAGACGATTGTCAAACGGT